GGTGGCTCCCATTTTGGAGAGGACACACTTGCCTTCTCTTCTGTGCATCTTTTTTGTTTTCATTCCTCAGCCTTTTTCTTCAGGTAAGAGGAGCCTCAGCTGCTTTTTAGTGTTTTGGAAGCTGGCCCTGATGAAGGCTGGTATTAAGGAATCACAGTACGTGTCTGCTAATTCAGCAAGGAAAGGGCTGCATCAGCGGGAGTGCTTTGCTTGGCAGGACCTCCTGCTCCTGCAGCACTGGGGAGGTTGTGAGGAGGGAGATCAGGCCACCCACAGTGGGCTGCCATGGCCTGGGACTGTAGGCTCTGCTCTCCAGTCTCTGGAAGAAAGGTGGTGGTGCTGGAAGCCTTAGGCAAGTGAAGAACTTCTTGGCTAGCTCTGAGTTGATCTGCTTATGAGGGGTCTATTGCCCTGGGTTTCTGGGGCTGGGAAGCCTCAGCACAGGGGATGAGTATCCCTCCAAGTGCTGGAGGAAGGTTGTTTCTGTAACAAACTGACGCATCCAAAAGCAAGGCTGCAGGACGAGCTGCTTTGTGCCCATGCTGTGCAGAAAGGCTTAAGAGTGGATGAAGCCTGTAACTGCATGGCACCTGCTGCGTGGCTTGGTTGGAAGCACCTGGCAGGCTGTGAGGCAGGGACAGGGAAGCTGGTTGTACAGGGGTGGGCAGTGATGCTGGGAGCTGCCAGCCCCAGGGTCTGGTGCTGCCTGCGCGTAAAGCGAGGACTCTGAGTGCCCCTCCCGACAGATTGTTAGAAAAATGAAATCCTAATGGTTGGGGGGGGGGACTCAACATGGGAGAGCAACAAGTGTGTTGGACAACTCAGAAAATACTGGGTTTGTCCAGACTAGAGCTCTGCAAAAGGTAGAGCTCTCCCAGACACCTGCCTGGAGCAAAAGGATGTTCAAAGAAGAGCAACTGCTGAAGCCAGTGAGTGGGGCAGACAGTCGTGTGGTCAAGAGACTGATGGTGTTGGAAATGATCAGACATTTCCTAGTGTAGCAAAACAATCTCAGACACATTCAAGGTGTCTGCAAAAGACATAATCTGTCCTACTTCAGGTGTGGAAAGATACTGCTAATTAGTGTGGAAGAAGAAGCAGCATCCCAGAGGGACGGTTACTCTCTAATTGCCCAGGATATGAGGTTTTGCACCTTCTCTTACAAAGCTGTCCCAGCGAGCAAGCAAGCAGAGGGGGTGGGTCCCTGCCTGGAGTCAGCACAACCATTTTAAGTTGGGGGCTGCTGGCTCAGTAGTTTTTCTCTTCCCTGGTAATCCCCATCCCCATTCCTTTTATTCTGTGTTTTAACAAGCGCTTAGGAGCACTGTGCTGTGTTAGCCTGATCATCCCAGTGTGTCCCTCTCACAGCAGGTCACATCACACTTTCACCCTTGCTGTGCCCCTTCCCAGCAGCCTGTGTGTGCTGCCCCAGCCCCCCGGCACTGCTGCCTGTCACTGTGCCCTCCAGACTGATACAGATGTTATCCCTATTCCCTGTCAGTGCCTGGGAGCACCCAAAATATCTGTGCCCAGGCATGTGTAGCAGATGGCTCTGGTTGGTGCTCACCACCCTTGAATCCAAGTCCAGGAGCCCAGAGGGGAGTCTCCTTGAAGGCCTCTGTCATAGGTGCAGCTGGCAGTGTGGGAAGTCCATGTTGCTATGCCCATTCAGGGCTCCAACTGTGTGAAATGAACTCCAAGCACCATGAATGCCTGGCTGGTAGGTGGCAGGTGTGACAGTGTCTGGGGCATTGCGGCTGTCATGCAACACCCAAGAGCCTACTCATGGGTTTGGCAGTGCCAGGACCAGGCAATGGTCAGGCAACAGGGGTGCCCTGGAATCTGGGAGAAAAATCCCTAGGCAAGTGCATGCAGAGTTGCTGTAGGATGTCCTGCCCACTGACATTTCTTGCTCTTTCTCCAGCTCCACACCTCTAGCAGGCTGAAACCTCAAACACCTGGGAGCCTGCCAGTCTATTACTGGAAAGGATCCCAAACCAGCTAAGGGGCAGCTCTCCACTGTCCAGGCAGGAAGAAGAGAGAATGGATGGCTGCACTGCCTCTCAGCAGGACAGAGACCATGCCACTTCAGGGCACAGCCAGGGGTTGAAGATGGAGCCCTGTTTCCAGACCAACTCTCTCCTGCCTTCCCCCAGCACATCCCTGGTATCACAGCTCCTAAGCCACCAGATGGTTGGCAGGAGCCTGGATCCTTGCATCCTTTTCCCTTCCTCCCAAGTAGTGGCCCTGCCTCAGGACTTTGAGTATGGTGCACCTCCTGGAGAAGGAGCACAAGCCCTGGCTTTCCCCACGACCTATGCCCCAGCTTCCATGCCCTGTGCTGGTGACAGGGACCAGCTCTCTGATCAGCACCTACGGGACCAATTCTCTGACCAGCACCTACAAGCCAAGCGGGCCAGGGTGGAGAGCATCATCCAAGGCATGAGTCTCCCACCAAACCCCTTAGCATTTGGCACCAGCCAGGAGGCAGCTTCTGGGCATGAGAGGGATAGTGAGCTGCCCCGGGAGAGCAAGAGGAAGCCAAGGGTGCCCCAGCAGGGCATGGGGGTGGCCAGGCAAGTGGCCCCTGTGGGGGATAGCCTGCATGCTGAGGGCTGCCAGCAGCTGAAGGAGCAGCTCTGCTTTTTAGAGAAGCAGCTGAGGAGGCTTCAGGAGAAGTTCTCCCAGGTCTGTGACTCTGGGGATGCTGCCCAAACCCAGGAAGGTATTGAGAAAGTGCATTCACTGCCTGGGAAGCCTGGAGACAGACTGGACGAGGACAGTGCTGCTGCCACCAATGACCCATGCAAAGTGCCTCTCTGCAGGAGTATCCCAGGGGTGCATGGGCAGGAGGACGAGGGCAGAGGCAGCTCAAATGGCTTGCCCTCAGCTGCAAGGGTCCTCTCGCAGGCACTGAAGAATGAGCTGGCTGGGGTGACATCCCAGGTGGTGGACTCTGTCCTGAAGACAGTGTGGCCGAAGGCAGCCAGCCACCTCCTGCAGCAGCACCACAGCCTCCTGGTGCCGGGGCCAGGTAACAGGAGACAGTATTTTGCTGCTGAGAAATGCAGAAAGCCACTTGCTAAGCCATCCCCCATGAATGCGCCAGGGTCGCTGGGCTCACCCCAGGTTGCAGTCCTGCCAGGGGCTTCAGGGAAGAGCCTGGGTTCTCATGGTGGCTCCTTCGGTTCAAAGGGGGTCAGAAAACCCTGCCAGGTACCCGGCATGGGTTATGCACTGGGCTCAGCTGCCCCCATCCAGGACAGCCAGCTGCTGACCCAGCTGCTGGGCTGCAGCCAGCACAGCTCCTGGCGCAGCAGCTCTGGTGGGACCCTCACTGCTCCGGAGGGGGGTTCTCTGGAGCCCCTCAACTTGCACTGGGGCACTGTCAAGCTGAGGTCGTCTCTTGCGAGACAGCAGCGTCCCCTGGCCCTGAGCCCCGCCGACGTGGAGAGCCTGGCGCTGCTGCCGGGGGGCAGGGACGGCTGCGGGGAGCTGCCAGCTGCGATGGACGAGGTGCCCTTCACCTCCACCCATATATCCTTTTGGGGCACCTGGGGTGGTCCCTGGGCTCAGCTGCAGCTAGAGAGATCCCTGGGCTTGAATGTGCTCCCCGTGTGTCTCACGGATATCCCTGTTCCCACCAGCCTGGGAAGCGCCATGGGGAATGGCAGTTTCCCTGGGCATGCCAAAGGAAAAAGCCAGTGGCTGCCTGGCCAGGGGCAAACCCCCTCCACCCTGCTGCCAGCCCATGGGAAGGGGTGCTCACGGGCACCAGGAATGTGCGTGCCAGGGCTGGTGCTCAGGGGTGCATTAAGCCCGCCAGGCTGCTGTGTGCAGGCTTTCCTTGACCTCGAGGCAGATCCAGGACGCATTGACCCCCAGCCACCTGAAGAAGGCCAAGCTGATGTTTTTCTTCACTCGCTACCCCAGCTCCACTCTGCTGAAAGCTTACTTCCTCGATGTGCAGGTAACACAGCAGCACCCAGTTCTGGTGGCAGGCAAGCCTCCTGTGCAGTGTGGTACCCAGCCCGCATGGCTGGGGAGCCACAGGGGAGGGGATGCTCTTGTGTCCCCCCATCTCGCTGTCAGGAGCAGTGGCAGCACATGCTCCAGCATGGGCTGCCCTGGAGCAGGTGCTCGGGCCGTGGCAAACCTGGGCTGCCAGGTCTTCCCTCTGAGCAGTCAAAGCATTAGGATTCAAGCACATGACGAATGTGCATCCCCACTGCTGGACACGTGGGACCTGATTCTCAGTGGGGGGAGGCACCACGGACAGCCCCATGTCACAGTCCTGGCTGGTGCTTTTGCACTCCTGGGGCAGGACTGGGTGTGGGGCCAGGCCAGCGGCACATGGCTGGGCTTGCTGGGCCCTGACACCTGTCCTCTGGCTCTGCACCCCCCAACAGTTCAGCCGCTGCATCACCTCCCAGCTCATCAAGTGGTTCAGCAACTTCCGTGAGTTTTACTACATCCAGGTGGAGAAGTTTGCCCGGCAGGCCCTGCTGGAGGGTGTTGTGGATGCCAGTGTCCTCCGGGTCTCCCGGGACTCGGAGCTCTTCCGTGCCCTCAACACGCACTACAACAAGGGAAACGACTTTGAGGTGAGGAGGGGGAGGAAGGGGCAGTGGGGTGACGGGGTTTGCTGGGGCGAGGGGGAGATGGGGAGCTGGCAGTGCTGTGGGCTGATGCCCATCTCACCACAGGTGCCGGGGCGGTTCCTGGAGGTGGCCAGCCTGACGCTGCGGGAGTTCTTCAGCGCCGTCAGGGCAGGCAAGGATGCCGACCCTTCCTGGAAGAAACCCATTTACAAAATCATTTCCAAACTGGACAGTGACATCCCAGAAGGTTTCAAGGCTGCAGGCTGTTCCCAGGAACTTCTGCGCAGCTGAGTCTCCATGAAAGCAACCCCAGGACCTGTGTGCAGCCCCCATGTGCCAAGCACTCCTGGGCACTCTGTACAGCATCCATTCTGGCTATTTTCTCTCTGTCCTGTAAGACAGCTCATTGGGTGAGTTGTATTGCTCACCTCAGGTGCTGGGATTTTATGCTGTTTCAGTTCTCCTGCTCAAAGCTGGTGGGGTTCTGCTGGAGACCCATGGAAGAGGGGGAGGGAGATTAAGCCATTAGGTTGGAGCCTGGGAAATCACCCTGCCAGCTTTCTTCTCTTTTCCTGAGGGCTGCAGGTCAGGGCAAAGAGCCTTTCTGTTTATAAAGCATGCAGAGGTCCTAGCAGCGGGCAAAGTTTTCTTGGCACAGCAGACCAGTGGATGTGCCTGGCCCAACAGCACACCTCTCTTTCTGTCCAGATACAACACACCAGTGTCCAAAGAAAATAGCGGGTGGATTCCAGCATTTCAAGCACTCCATGAGGGTGATTGACCCTGTCTGGGAGACAGCCAGCACAAACACTGCACCTATGCCCCTGTGCTGTTTGGCAAGAGCCCCCCCATGCAGCTGTGTCCCGGGGCCAGGCAGGTGAGTGTATGTGCTGGTGGGAGCATCCCAAGAGCAGCCACGCAGCAGCAGCATCACCACAATGCTGAAGGAGCATGGGGCACACAGCCAGCCCCGCTTGGCCCCACAAGCAGCCCCCTTAGCCCATCACTTGAGGGGAAGCACCATGTTGAACATCGACATGTGTACCCTTACACTGTGCTGCTGCTGGCAAAACTGCCCTGAACACCTCAGCTCTGGAACCTGCCCATGGTGAAAAAGAAGCATATAACCTAGGACCTGTCAGTCCCTGTGGGGTTTAACACAAGATATTCCCACTGGTGAGGAGCTGGCCCAGAGGTCTGCAGGCTCATTGCTGCAGGGGTGTAAACCCAAGGAGGTCTCTTTTCCTTGTGACCAGGAGTCAGTGATCCCTTTTCTGCCTGACAGAGCATGCTGAAGTACTTTGTGTTAAGGGCTCTTACATCCTGACAGAGATGGTGGTGGGGAGGGAAAGGCTTTGAAGAGCAGTGAGGTCCTGGAAAAGGCACAGGAGGAAGGCTCTGGGAGGGCAGCAGTGTCTAACTATAGATGAGCAATGACAGCCCCATGCAAAACACTCAGGGAGAAGAGGAGTGGGAAGAGGTCAAGATGTGCTGAGGTGCCATCTGGGTACTCAAGCAACATGGGAGAGGCAAATCACAGCTCCAGCATCAGACAAGTGTATGGGGTGATCCGCAGGCAGTGTGTGATGACAGGGCAGGGTGGGGTGTCTGAAATAGGAGCAGTTTTACAGTGGTTCTTCCCTTTATGAGTGTGGCTTCCCACATTTCCTGCTTGCCTTTGTATGTTCGTTTCTTAAGCTTGTATATTTTACAACCCCAACACTGAATTTATTCAATCAATTTTAAAATAAATGCATAGTTTAAGTTACCCCTTTACACTCCTAGAGACCAATTTGCTAACTTCTGTAATGCATTACCCTGGGAATTTCTTGCCTTTTGCTGGGAAAAGAATAACATCATGACAAAATGCTTATTCCCTGTCAGCCTCCCTGTGGGGCCGAGCAGATCCCACCAACCAACGTCCTCACTAAAACCCACACCCTCACCCCAGTGCTCCCGGTCAGAACTCTGAACTGCAACTCGAAGCAAGCGCAGCAGCCGTCGGATCACAGGGAGGCAGAGCCCAAAGTTTCCCGGTGCTGGACTCAAATGTACAGCATCTGGGAAGTGCTGCTGGTGGACAGGACAGTACTGTTCCTGCTGGCAGTAATCACTGCAGAGCTGAAGGATTGTGTTGGGTAGGCAAAACCAATGCTGCTGGAAAAGGAAATGATGGGCTGTCTCAGGGAAGGGGTTAGGAAATTCTTTTGGTTGTAGCACTGAAGAGGGGTGAGCTGAATGGCAGCCCCAGCCCCTGAGAGAGCCTTTTAAAGCAGCAGCCAGCTGGTAGAGAAGGAAGGGGGAACTCCCACTGCCTTCCCTTCATCTAGGTGATAGAAGCACTGATACAGAGAAGGCAGCACGTCAGCTGGGACATGGCCAGAGCTGAAGTTACTCTAAGGGCAATGAAGTCTAAAGCATAAGGGAAATAGGGTGTGAATTCTTAAGAAATTAGGGTTTCATTGGTTGTGCCATGTAGGGTATGGTGTGTAATTTCATTTCCATTCTAGCAGTGCCCAAGATACAGCAGCTAGTTTTCAAACAAGGACTAATAAGTGCCTGTCACAGGGAGATTTCTACTGTCAAAAGTGTGTGTGCTTGGAGGGCTGGCAGGAAAAGGAAGATTTCCACTGCCCACATAGCGATTATGGTCATGGCCCTCCTGCTTGGGTAGGCTCCCACTTTACCATTTCCTCTAATTACCTGAGGAAACAAGGGGGTAGCACACTCACCTACTGCTGACTCAGTTTCATCTAAAAACCGAAATCCTCTCCTTTCGTCTCTCCACATTTCTGTGGTATATGCAAAAAAGCCCACAGCCACCTGTAATGTTCTCTTCTGGGAACAATTCCTCAGGCCTATCCTTTTCCATTTCCAGCTGCATTCATAGCCCGCCCACAGCAACGTACCCACTCTGCTCAGCTAAACAGCAGCAGCAGCTGCTAAGCACTAAAAATGGCTGTTTCCTGCCTCCAGGCTGCTAGTGTCTTCCAGCAGCCAAAAGAGGGAGATGGGACCACACTGACTAAGCTGGCAAGGCCCGGAGAGCCCTTACATACTCATCTATTATTAACTACCATAACAGCCCTTATTATTCATGTATGGCTAATTAGAGCTCAAGGAAGTTCCTAGTGAATGTTCATGCCATGTGCTACTGTAATAGCTGAGAAAGAAACTCTGACAAGCAATACAACATTTCTGTTTTTTCTTTACTCCTGCTAATGACTCAGACCTGTCTGCAGCAACTGAACCAGCCCTAGAGGTTCCTGCTCAAGCAGGTGTTATTGAAATGAACCTTCCCTCAAATAACACATCGCAGATTCATGTTTGGCATGAGGGCAGCTCTCTCCAGGTAAACATTACTGGTGAGCCAGTGGCCCATGCTCATGAAATCTCAGCAACATCTGCTGTCCCATTATATGCATTGGAAGGATGGATTAATCCAGGTCACAGTACAAATCACACATTTGAGAAACCCAAGGTCACTTTTTAGCTGGATAAAACACCTGTTCCCCTGCCTCTGGTGTCCAGAGATGTCCTGAGCCACAGACCTGGCACCACTCCAGGGGAGATCAGTCTCAAGGATAAAATACCCTGGGCGTCTCTTGGGTCAGATGGATATCTCTAGCTGGTAGAAAAAGGTTTTTCTTTCCACACACCATGAAATACATTAGTGTGAGCCATGGATTAAGGGATGGGAACTGGGAGGTGGAGCTGGTGACAGCAAGGAGTTGGGCTGTTCTCCCTGGACTTATGCAATGAAAGCCCCATTTTTATGAGATGTGCCAGTGGAACCACACAGACAGGCCTGCCCTCTCCCTTCTGGGATGCCCTGTCTCCCCAGCCTGCCTGCAGCAGCTGGGGTGCAAGCACTAAAGCTCGGGGGCAGAGATGAGCAGGGTGAAGGAAGGAAATGTCTCACAGGCAGCTCTGCCCAGAGAGCGCAGCACAGCAGTGGGACAGGGAGACCCACCGTGCAGCCCAGGGGCCTTCCAGGGAGGAGTTTCCTTGGAGTAAGGGTGCACAAAGGAGTGAGGACAGCCTGCCTCTGCCGATTGCCATGGCACATGGCACACAACCGGCAGGTTGCCTGAGGCAATGCTCATCTTGGAGGGGAGGCAGCTGGGGTGGGAGAAGACAGGAGGCAGCTGCCAGACAACAAGCACTTGTGTGTAGATAACTATCTAACTAGTAAATCCATTCATAAAAGCAGGTCTGAGCTAGTTGATCAAGAATGCTTGAGAACAACTATTTAAGTCAAACCACTGAGAGTTGTGCCATGAATCGCAAGGAAAAGCAGATTTAGGCCAACACAACACGTGAGGATACAGTCTGTATTTATATACTGCTTCTCAGGTGAAGTCCCTGTCATGATAAACTTTTTTTTTTTCCTTCTGTTTTTCTCATAACACGAACATTACAAGGACCTAAAATTTGATTGATTTCCCATTTGCTCCTTCTGAGATGAATTTCAGCCTATTTACAGTAATCAATCACACCTACCATCAGCCTCTGCACTATTTCTATAGGCTTCCCGAATTTAGTAATTTGTTTTTTAGCACTAGGCTTTCAATTAGAAGTCAAGAGGTCAATTTTCACTTTTTGTATTAGGGTCAAACACCATTCTTGGTTTTGCTATTCCAATAAAACAGCCAATATAAACACTTTTTGTGGCTACTTCCCATTACCTGGGAAGCAACCTCTTAATGACACAGCATGAAGACCAACTGGCATGAGCCAAATCTGGCAGCTTCCCTGCTGGTGTTTATTGCTCAGGCTTTTACTGTTTTCTCACTACTTGTTCTACTAGATTAACAAGGATTGTTCTTAAAAGTGCCAGCCTCTACCTGACAGGATCAATCTTTTTGTCTTATCACAAACTTGGAAAATAAGCAGCTAAAAGCAAGTGGTGAAGAGAAAATCTGGGAGTATGAAAAATACAAGATAGAGAAAAAAACCTGAAACTTCAAGGAAAATATTTTACTGGATTTCCCAAAGCATGTATATGTCATCCAAAGCTTTACACAAAGAACAGGAATTATAAAAAAATACTTTGTATTATTTTAAAATTCTAAGTGAAATACCTGACAATATAAACATATATATACATACCTATACATCTCAATATAAAACCTCATTTGGTCCTCAGCAAGTGAGCACAGAATATTCAACAGCTTAAGTAATTGTTTTCCATTTCTAATTTCCAAGTAAGAGTAAGAAATAGTAGAAATAAGGACAAATTTTGAGAACACCATGAATCAACACCATGCTCAAGGGAAAAGTGAGGTGAG